TTTTGCTGATCCCGAACTCTTCGGCGACACTGGTCACACTACGCCCCTCCTCAAGCTTCCCAATCATTCTTCCTCGAGTAAAGTCGTCTAAATGATTTCTTGAAGACATGTTTCACAAAACAAATCACTTGCAACGAATGTCTTTAACTACGGTGCTCTTCATCCTTTCATCACAACTTTGACCTGCGCGCGCCGACCCACAAGGTTTACGTACACTTACATCACCTACGACGTTTTATTTCTAAAATTTACATACAAATAATCTTTCTACTGAATTACGTGCATCTTATACTGCAATTTTATGGCTATCTTATACTTTGTTGGGGAGCTGTGGCCGAAAAACCACTTGTTGCTTAAGTTTTGCTCACCAGTGCATATACTTTTGAATCGAATTCTTGTATTCAATGCTAGAATGTCAAGGACTTTGCCTTGTAGAGAAAGTGATATTCGCTCTACTAATTGTTTACACAAATCAACGCTCACCATCTACATAACAGCTAGCGTGTATAATTAGTTTTGGGCTGATAGCCCGCTTCCGTCCTGCAATATGAAATACTTAGCATTTCTAATGGTCATTCTAAAGTAAACATATCACCCACTAATAATCTGATTATATTTTGTTGAAAATTCATATTTTGTTGACCGATGGTCATTTTTTACTCGACACGGCAATTATATATTTCATATATGAACGACACTAGAGATTGGGTCCGACGTATACGCACGTTAAACGCGCTGAACTGATTAAACCTGCAGCCACGTAAACTAATAAAATCAAGTAAACATTTTTTTTCATTTATTAAGCAAGAATCATTGCGAACTGATTGATACAAGAATCAGAAGTTGGACTCTAGCTCTTCCACGTAACTGTCATATCGAGATCGCTCCATTCCTCCGGTGCTCTGAGATGTTTTATGAACAGATCATAATTACTGAGCATGAGAATTTGCAGAGACTTCAACACGTAGTACTTGACGGTTGGGTGTCTGTGTTCCAGCAACTGAATGAGGGCATCTTTGCCTCCCAAATCCTCCACCACCTTCTTGCCCCTCGAATGTTGCTTCATGTATTCGCCTACATCGTGTGCCGCAATACAGAGAACGACATTGTCCTCACTCGTCTCCAGTAAATCAATCAGTATCTTGACAAGCTCGTATTTATTTTCATTCAAACGTTCGGCATTCTCTACCCAGAATTTCTTCGATTTGTGCACTATGCTCCATTCCAATTGTCGCGATAAAACTTCCATTTTGTACTCGTCGAATGAGCTCAGCTCTTTCAGATGCGATTCGAGTACATCTGTAACGAACTGAAATAGACAGAGAATCATTACAAAAAACAGATTTATAAAAAATAGAATGATGGCGCTGATCAAATTATGCAAATATTTTAATCTTAATGATCATAATCTTAGGAAGAATATCATCATGAATGAATATCATAATAGTTTCATCATCAGGTTCCTCATCTAAACATTATGGTTTACCAATATAGATAAAAAAAACCATTATGCCTTATTTTTAGATAATTTTTTAAAATCATCTTTTTACGATCCTAATATTAGAAGTCTATTTGATCAATTATGGTTTAATGTCTTATCATTACATGATTTATCTTCTTTTGTATCATTCTAGGTCATTTACCATTTACCCTAAAAAATAATAAATCCTACAGGAAGTCTTGCTGACCTCTTCTGAAGTCATAGTAAAACGTATTTCTCTCTCTTTTTTCAGTTCATTACTCAATTGAATTCGGTGAAACGCTTAAGGGATTTAAACATCTTAATTTCACATAACAAATTAGTGCTTCGACTCACAGTGCACCCAAAAGCAGAACACTTGCAAATGAATTTTTCGACATCGAAAACAAATAATTACGAGAACAAAAAATTGAAATCAGTAATTAGTAAACTAAGAAAAAAATAGAAATCAGTACAGGCTAATCTTCTACCGGAAGTTCAAACAACTTCTGCAAACGCTGCTCCCCATCGTTGAGTAGACAAATCAGGGTCGACAATAAAGTCAATATTTTTACCAAAAGCTTTGGAGATAGAGTGCTCGCCTTCTAATGAAACCAGGTTCGAATCCCAGGAATGGCTAGTCGAAACGAATTAGATCGCACCCACCTTAGTGCTGACGTAAAATATCCTCCGTGGTAGACGGATTATAGGATTGAGCCCCTTTGCAATCAGGTAAACCGTGATTTTCGTAGTTTTCCTCTCTGTGTAACACAAATGCCGATTAGTACCATCAAAATGTCTTCCACAAAGGCAAAATTTCTCCCAATACTTGATCCAGGAGTTCCCTTGTTCTTCTAGATTGGGTTCAAACTTTCAAGTCTTCGGAATTGAACAATAATACTCGTAAGCTCGAAATTAGGTCGGTTGTTCAACGATGGTTATAAAATATTTTTACCTGAAGTTTTGCAAATTTTGCATTTCTAAAAACAAAATTCAAATTAAACAATTCTGATTTCATTTCTTAGCATTATGAATTATTGCCTGATTACTGTATTCTTACTATATTATATTCATTGAAATTTAATGTGTGAATAAAATTTCAACTTAACTGTTTGATTGGGCTACAACCATTTGTTCCATGCAGCTGTCGGAGCAAGATCACTCCATTCCAATAGGTACTTCATAATATTTTAAAAATCGAATTTTAATATCAGACTTTTTTTTAAAATTCGATTTCTCAAGAATTATCAGTCCGATTGTGTTCCTATGTTGTATTCGCTTCATAAAATCACATTCTTTAAAATGATGTAATGATTTTTATACTTTAAAATTTAAAATTTTTCGACTTATGTGAAATAATATAATGAAAAAAATAATAAATTATAATTGAAAAATTTTTAGCACGGAATTATCTTTGGATAAACGAATTAAAAAAAATTTCAGTTCGTTTAAAAAGTTCTCAAGATATGGCAAAATACTCTAAATTTAAAATTAACATGAAGGGATCCAAACTTCAGACCGCTCACTTGACCAAACTAATGGGAACCTATTTTCTGAATTGTGGTTACCCCTATATTTTGTGGGTCAGAAGTCATATTCCGTCGTGAAAAAGATATGTTTATTCAAATAAAGTACATTCAGCGAAAGCACAATATCGTCTGCACCAATTAACCTAGTGAAAAATCCTATCATTAGATCAAAAGTTATTCAGAATGTTTCGTTTTTCTCCCCCTCCTTTTTTGCACTGTATATAAAAAAAAAAAACCGCTGATCAACGCTGAATTATAATGTGTTTCAACCTCAGTAAGTCAGAATCATTGATTGTAGTAGTTGAATAAATCCATGTTGAATAATACTAAAGTTGAAGAAGCGTGACCTTATTTTAAGGTTAATTGAGAATCATCATTATCGAAGAATGCTGATCTACTCGGAATTATAAATATGGTACAAATGTACTTCAGCCTCACTAAGGTAAGTCTCAATAATTGCTATTATGATGCCACTAAAAAGGGCTAATCAACGTAATCATTAACCTTTTGCTTACGGCTGGTACAATATGTGGACTACGTGTGATGGTACAATATGGAACACCGTAAGCAAAAGGTTAAACCATTCAAATTTGCTTTAGCTTCTACTAAGATTATTCTGAGTATGTTAGTATGTTATTAACATTTAAACAGGCAATACCTAATAATCTGAAAATATTGATTTAACCTATAAAAATATAATGAACTTTGATTTAACCTATCTATTTATAAATATAACCTATGAAAATGTGTTCGTTTCCTCGCGCTTAACGATAACCATTCATATAAGTAATCAACCTATATGTAAATTAGAATTGTTTGGAATCATTTAAATAAGATTTTATATCAAGAACATTTCAGTTTTCTGTATTGATAACTTTTAAGTGTTGAATATTTTGAGTTTCTTGCCTTATAATCTTCTTCAAATTCTTCGTCGCTGAAATCCTCAATTTTATGCTCAATGTTTCTCAAATAGGTGAGTATTTTGCACTGCAACATCACCAACGCATTGTGTTTAATAACTCCAATCTCCCTCGGTTTTTCCAGCAGGTTTCTGTATATTGCAATTATTATTCTCGGAATTTTCAACACTTCTGATGGGCAACTCTGCAAAACCTCTGATAAAACTGGAATTGTTCCAGACCTAAATAAATATAAAATAATTATCCTTTATTGATAAGCAGTTATATTTCTGACGTCGTCATTATTTTCTATTTGAATGTAAAATTTAGACCCACCAAGAAGGTGTAGGCCCTTTTAAAAATAGGACTCTTTCAGAATTACTCGTATCAAATTAGTGGCCAATTTACTTACCGGTTCATCTTTTCTGCCAACTGTGGATTGAGTGAAGCTACCCAGAGACAAAATGAAAGCTGGTATTGAGCCTGGGCCTTTAATTTAAAAGTCAAGAGTCGAACAATTTTGAATATTCCACTCATAGCCATAAATGCCATCCTGTAGTCATCGCGACGGAGCAGTTTCTGCAGACACCTGATGACGGACATCATGTAAGGATTGTCTTGATCTAGTTCATCTTTCAACCAATGCAGGAAATAGTTCATGTCATTTTGAGTCGGTCTCTCTTCCGATGCCACCATCAGGTAAGAGATGACCCGGCCTCCTATATTTCGGACAAAATCGTCTTTCCATTCCAGTAGAGGCATAAATATTTTCCATGGCTCCTTTGTCACTGGTTCGAACCCACGCATCCTGGAATCATCTTCCCAAAACATGTCGTCAATCACGACGAGCAATTTTCGCATATCATCTACGTTTCTTACCTTTTCTATCAAAGTTTTTACCGTAAGATATGCTCGTCCCTAGAAGAAATTCTAAAAATGATGAAAGGATCATATCCAAAAGTTATTATGCAATAAAAGGGTAAAAAGCATTTATGCAAAATGCAATTCATTTATGCAATTTGTATTTATGCAGTTCAAGTAAGGAGTATTTATGCAGAAAAAATATTAATTTGAAGTCAATAAATATCATGTATAACATTAACTGCAAAATTTCAGATCGTTTGATACATTAACATCACCTTTAAAAGTATTTGTTTCTATAATTAAAATAATAATATTTAATATAATATAATATATAATATAGCATATATAATATAATACATATATATAATATAGTATATATAATGAATAATATAATAATATACAAATAATTTAAGTGAATAAAAAAATAGAAAATTTTTTTCTTCATAATTATAGTTGCCACAAATATAGGATTTAAATTAAAGGTGCAACTTCAGTAAACTAGCTCTTTTCACAATATTTTAACAATTTCTTACTATAGATAAAAATCTAATTATGGTGTCGCAGTTTTCCATTGTTGTCAATTGTTCCAGTTTTTCATTGTTATTGGCCGGAAAATCACATGGTAGGATCTAGTTTTCCCACATTAATTTTCAATTTGGTTTGGTTGTCATCAGCATAAAATTTTCATAAGTCATAAAGTTATTGTTTTCCTATAAAATATTTTTGTTTCCCTAATTTAAAGGTTAAAATTACCTGTACTGTTATTATTGCGTTTTTGATTTTGTTTGATTTCTAAATTAAGAGTTCAGGAGGATTGCTTTTATCACTATTATTATTAGAATAATGTAATTCTACGTTACATTTTAAGATAAAGTTATTTAAACCGGTGTCCGATCTTATTAATCGTTTTGCAGTTATTATTTTTTAATATAATTATTTTCGAGAAATTTGCGAACAATATTTGCAATTTATACGCGATTTGCGAAAAGAAATCTTATTTGTTTTGGAATGTTTGAGAGCGCCGTTGATTGCCGACTAAACTACACCGGAGACATGTTGCCATCCGGAAATTATTAAAAGACTTCAAAAAATGACACGTGATTTAGGCGAATCCCAACAGCTATTTACATATAATAGCATTGCTTAGATGAAGAAATTTTTCCCTACGGCTCGAGTTGGTGATTACGGAAGTAGACTGCGTTCTAACAATTCAGCCAAACGTTTTAAAGTTGAACCATACGGTTGATACCTAGAAAGGAAATTTGCTGAAGAGGAGACAGTAGATAAGTTCGGGTCGAACTCGTTCATGAATACTTTTGAATAGAATACTTTTCAATAGAATACTTCCATACTCGACTTCGAAATTTAAATCGACACATTCTGAAAGATTTAAAGCTTAAAACAAGCGAGCACAAAGGCTAAATAAAATATATTGTTAGAGATGACTTATTTACAGATATAATACTTCTAAATTTTTACATTTAATAATATATTTATGCTTAACTAAGCCAAACGGTTTGTTTCGTTTTTTAGAACCGCAAATAAAAAAAAGAACAATGGTTACTAATATGTTAAAGTTTAGAAAGTTTTCTCGTATAATTAACAATTGACTTTTGAATTAATGTCATTTAGAGTAACATGGTGTTCGGTAATTACCACCTACAATATTTATTGTTTCAAAAAAAGTGTACTGGGGAAAACGGGGGAAAAAAGAGAAAAATGTTATCGAAATCTAATGAATCACTTTTGAGGTTGCGTTTCACTTTTGAATCACTATCAGTGAGTGATTCACTATCACCACTAATAGTGGTAAAATCAATAAAAAATAACTACTAGTGATTCACTATCGTGGAAAAATCAAATCCGGCGAAACTGCCGGATCAAATAGAGAGGAGTTGTATTCGAAACTCCTCCAGGTTTTAGCGGCAATGAAACTGGTTTTGAAGGGGGGGGGTTTCCATCCCGCCTTTCCTCATTAGTGATTTGCCAAATTTGATTGACGTTTTTGCTTCTTTCTTGTTCCCACATTAGTTAGAAAAAACCCAACTTAGTACGTGTATTAACTTTATTTTTTGTGAACAGTATACATTGAGGACCCGATCATATACTGAAGACGATAATTAAAGAAGAATCTTTATACGAAGACTTTTAAATGTATATTAAGCAAGAGTTATCACGGAACTATATTTAAAAAGGTGAATAGAACCTGAAACGAATGGATGATAGTATCTCTCTCTTTCTTTGTTTTAGCAGACTGGAATGAATGAATGAAGTTGCAATCATCCTCACTAATTATATTTTGTTCGGCGTAAGAAGACCAATCAATGGGTTCTTCCTGACGAATAGAATAAGCTTCCATCTGAATGGGCCCCGTCAAATCAATTATGCTGTCTTCCAATTCAGGTGGCAACGATGTGAATGTGTTGATAAGAGCCACAGAGGATACTACAAAAGAAAATCTGCTTTTACTATCCAGTTGTGACTTATCAATCATTTTATTATTTTCTTTTGACTTGAAAAATGGACCAAGCTAACCATCCTTTTTTACTATTTAATTTTTAAGACATCAGTTGAGTTATAATTTTGCCTTAAAAGGAAATTTTCTAGTCAAAAGAATTTTCTGAATCAACTACATCCAACCAACAGACATTTTAAATTTTTTCTTAGATTCAAAAATTATTAAGATAGTTTATGAAAGCACTTGGAAAGAAATATCCATCTATAAATGTAAAGCATCATTAGAAGGAATATTGCAATTATTTCCGTCACCGCTGTTTCGTTGCACGAGCTTATTTATATATGCGTTACTAAATTATATATAATACATCAGAGGTTTCCAACTTACATGAGGCGGGGGACCACAATTAAAAACACCAGTCAAATAGCCGGCCGCAATTTCATCAAAATTTTATATAGGACTCTTTTATGCTTGAAGGAGCATTAAATATTACTGTACTTATTAAATGTACGGTGTCAAGTTGTACAAAACAAAAGTATTGAATTACAAATTAAAATAAGAAGTAGATTTTTAAAAATATTTAATTGAACATTAAAAAATTCTGGCTACAATAACTTTAATGTTCACCTATGTATTGACCAATTAATGTGCAATAGATATCTAATGGTTAAGATATAAAACTTTAAAAAGGTTGGTATTAAAACTTACATAGCACACAAAATGTTCAATTAGAGAATTGAGGTTTATACATTTTAAATTTAAAATTTACAGATGTGTAAATAATTTCGAATGATTGGTTTCAAAAAGTTATATCGGAGAATTTCTTCGAGAAAATTTCTGTTACGCACATGCAAAATTATATTCACGAAATACAAGAAGAAGAAGAAAAAAGCAACATACACAATTAATTTTGTATTTGAATAAATATTTTCTTGGATGCTAAACGTGAGAAATAAATTTTTTTGCAACGTTGGTATCTTAAATTTCACAGAAATGAAGAAATTAGATTTTTTTAAACGAGAAAAGTATTTTAAACCCATATAGAATTTTTACGAAAAGTGTCCCCAAAAAAATGACAACTGATATAATTTAGTTCCCGGGGGCACGAAAAAAGGCTTCACAGGATGCGGCTAGTTGGTATCCATCATAGAGTTATATGGTTGTACCAGTATGGCTCTGTGGTTGCCGTTAAGGCTTCACGAGTTTCTCCTATTTATTACTCTATGGCAGTGATTCTCAACCACTGTGCCGTGGCATTTTTGTGTGCCGCCAAATTCTTAAAATGTCCCGCCAAATATTAGAAATGATGCAATAAAAATTATGATGCTTTTTTCTATTATGAATAAAGCTTAAATTAAAGAAAAGTGTATATATATATATATACTT